CTAATCACAAACTCGAGTGCAGCTTTATGTGTATATAAACTAATGTTCTAAGGTTAATGTAAATCGTGTGAAGGATTCTCCATCTACAACACAAAATCCATGCCAAGTTGTTCAACAATTCTGCTTTTTTCAGAACAGAGGGCAGCACACTGATACACCAGATTGAATTTAATTTCCCCCTGCTGGACCCTCAAGCACACAAGTTCCTCTGGAGTTCAGTGCACTCCTTGCTCACGAGTGGCCCACACCCAGCCCAGGGCTGGCTCATGTCCCCAGATGTGTCACCAGGACACCAGGGACACTTCACCTCATGCCATCAGCTACTTGGTCACAGAACTGAGCTGGCCCAGGACTTGTCTTGGAACAAGAGGAGGACTTGGCAGCATTAGGTTTGCTGCTGGATTTGATCTTAAATGTCTTTTCCAGCCGTAACAGCTCCATGATTGTCAGATCAGCATCAAAGGAGGAATCCCTGTATTTGTTTTCCTGCTGAACAGATCTTGTCAGGCCAAACACAGCTGGGTCACATCTCACTGCTGGAGAGCACTTTCTTCTCTTCCTGCTTCTGCAGGGGGTAGGAATCTGTAAGCTCTTTGCTTTCCTGAATCTCCACTTTGTTCCTCTTGGCCATGATCCTGTTGATTTCCATGAAGGTTTTATTCTTGGTCTCAGGAACGATGAAGAAGATATAAAGCATGGTGGTGACGCAGATGGCACAGAAGATGAGGAAGCTGTAGGGCCCCAGCCCAGCCTGGAGCAGTGACAGGAGAGAGCAGGGGTCAGGACAACATTCCAGGTGGGATTTACCTGCTCTGGACCTGCTACACCCTGCACTGGCCATGGAAGAAGCAGCCTCAGTGAGGTGCACATACTTTGAGCTGAACCACTCAAAGCTGGGGTGGTTTTAGATTCTGTCTTCTCAAACCACCACGGGTTTACTGGAAACTTACTGGGAAACTGAACTCAGCAGCTGCCTTTGCACAGGTTAAAGGCAGGGGCTGCAGCAGTTTATGGTCACTGCTGCTGGAAGCAGTTTGAACAGGGCACCCACATTTCAGAAACTGTCCCCCACAGGCACATCCTGCAGTGGAGGATGGGGAATTTGCCATCTTTTCCAAGCTCCTGAGCTCAGGATGAGTCCTGGCAATCAAACTGCTTTCTTTCAAAGCCTGTGCAGCAGCCAGGTGTGATGGGAAAGTGCTGAGGAGCATCAGGCTCTTGCCCCTAACACAATCCCACACACAGGTTTTGAGAGCCAGCAAGTGCATTCAGAGCTCCTCAAAGCCTCTCTGTAAGAGCAGGGGGAGCAGCTGATTTCCAGCCTTGCCCTGTGCTGGGGTTCTCACCTCCATGTAGAGGAACACCAGCCCCACGGTGAAGTTGCTCAGCCAGTGCACAGAGCCCCCCACCATGAACGCCGCGGGTCGGGACGACTGCAGGAACATCTCCGTGATCATCACAGCGGGAATGGGACCTGCAGGGCAGCCACAGCTGAGGAAATCCCAGAGGCAACCCCCTCATCCTGAATTCCCAGTTACACTGCTCATTTCAGCCCAGACAAGGCTCTCTGACTATCAGTGTTTAGAAGCACCCAGTAAATCAAACAAGGATTCAATTTAAAGATAAAAACTGGGGCAGTGACA